TTGAAGATCGGAAACCGTCTTATTCCGGAATATGCAGCTTTTGAGATAAAGCGTTCCGGGTAAGTGGGCCCAGTCGGGGATGAGCGGTCAGGTTTTTTGTTTTTGTTTTTTTTAAATTAAAAATGACCATAATAATCTAGAGATATCTGAACCTATATATCCAGATTAAATATGCACTTAGGAACTTATTTTTGTAAAACTCACATTTTTGTCCAGGTAGGCCATTTTCAGCATTGACATGTGTGCGTGCTCATTACTCAAAACAATGGCTTGCGACTTAGTCCGTATTATGCTGGAGCGGGTCACATATATAGTAACTGAGCTGTGTTGTAGAGACTTAATTTAGAAAACATTGCCGGCTCCATCATGACGGGCATTAGCCGTGCTAGGAAAGATAATGGGAGATAAGGGCATTGGCGATGCCCCCGAAAGTCACCGATGATAACCGAAACGCCGTTCATTCATAAAGTTATCGCGGGAAAAAACGAACTCCCACGAAGCGACTTTCCTAACCCGCAAAAGGTGAGAAGGATAGTGAATATTGTGGATGCAAGGTGCCGTGAGGCCTGTGTGAGGGGAAGTTTACGAGCCAATATCTCAGCCTAGGAGTATCGTATTGACAAGCGGTTGGTCTTGTTTTAGAGAGCAAAGAATTCTGCTTAATGCAATACCATAAAATTATTCTAGACTAGCAAGCAAAGTAGAATAATATTGCCATGAAATAGCACTATTTTCCCATTTTTCCGTTGTACACGCTAGGTGTTTATTAGCTCTTGTCATATATATATATATATATTTCTATGTCTGAAACACACCACGATGTTCTGAGTGTGCTCTAGGCTGTCACATGTAATTGACATCTCCATTCACATACATGTGCACCATACGCAGTGCTACAGTACGGGCACAGTAATGGCACTCACCAGTCAGTACTCTACAGCAGGGGTAGAAATTAACTTTTGAACACGGGAATCCAACGGACTCCCTACCCTCAAAAAGAGGGAGTCCACAGCAAAATGAGGGAGTCCGCAGTCAGAA